AAGTACAAAATAATGATGGTGTTAACCAGTGGTTTTGTGAGCACAGGAACTAATGAAGCCTACTTCTATAACCAGCAGCTGAGTGACATTTTAATTGAATTATATTAAGGCTGCAGTGGGACTTTGGTCTTTATTACACATAAAAGAATCCACAGAGAAAAGCCCTAAGGAGCGAATTCCCTGGTGTCCAATGAGACATTAAATCCTGGTGAAACTTTTTTTCTGCAGGTAGGGTACTCGGGCTGCTCTCTCGGTGTGTAGTGACTAGTAAGAGTGAGATCCAGAGCGAGCCTTGCCCTCACTGCACACACGCATGGTACCTCCTGTCTGGCTGCCTATTTCTTGAATTCTGGGCTGCCAGCTTTCACAAAACTCACGGAAACTTCAGATAGCAAAACTTGTTTAATGCCAATTGCTTAATTTGCCTGAAATTCAAAAGTGAATGTAAAATTTAAAGGTAATAACAAGGCATTAAAAAAAATAGTTTGAGAAGTATGATCAATATAATGCCACATAAATCAGCAGCCCTCTCTTCCTCTCCTTCTCATCTTCAATTACTCACCCCCTACATGCTCCACCTTCTCCTGCTTTTTGTCAGTGCTGGTATACATACAGCCACTCAGCAGGCTGGTTCAGTCTGAAAACTACTCCAGGAAAAAAAAAAATTGTTAGTTTTTAACTAGATTAGTTTGCCTAGTCCCAGTGCAAGGCGGAGGCAGAGGCGGCTCTTCTGGCAGCGCTGGAGATCTATGCCAGACCGAGCATAAAACTGCCTGGATCCTGACTAGTGCTGAATTTCGTATTCCTCCCTCTCTGTCATCTGTGAGGAGATGGTGTCAGGTAGTGAACAACGGGTCACGCTGTGTACAATACACAGTAGTTTCCTGCTTGCTTTCCTGACCTGTCCAGAAAAAAAAAAAATTAAGGCTACTGCTGTTGCCTTCTCTTTTATACAAGTAGAATAAGAAAATTTAACTAGGGTGCAGAATCAACATTCAGTCTCTCCTCCTAGGGCGTTTGTCAGAAAAGACCAGTGGCTGCAGCAGAGTCACTGGGAAGGGCTGGAGGGCTCGGCCCAGGCAGGCGGCCCAGCTGCTCGCCTGAAGACTGGCGCTCCTGCTTGCACCTTCCCTCTCAACAAGCTGAAAGAATTCTGTGTGCTTTGGCAGTCCAACGGCTTTGACAGCAGAGTGCCGTCAGTACTCTCATCAAGTACACGCATTAAGAGCGGCCTGTACGATGGCAGTGTTGAAGTAGTCGTCTGAAATGTCTGACTTAGGAACTTGTTTCTCCTCAGGCCCATAGGACTCACAGTATGGGAAAACGTCAGTGTAAAGGAAAATTCAGTGAAAACTGCAGGCGAGACCCAGAAGGCCACCATCACTATTTGGAAATAAAAACGTATCCTGTGCTTTGTCAGCTGTTGGGAGAAAGGACTTGCTGCTTACCTTGATGTACAGTCTCAGTGCTGTGAACCCTGAGTGGGAAGAGGCGCCCTGGGAAGCCTTAGCTCCCGTGAGGAAAGGCGTGCACAAGGCAGCTT